AATATTTAATATGTAATAATCAAAAATATATATAAAAATATTATTATATTTTAAGAAAATTAAGAAAATCTTATTTTTTATAATTCTTAGATATATATATATAGATATATAGATATATTTCGACTTTACTCGAACTAAAAAAATTAATTTCTTTCACATTAAGCAGCAATTATTTATCACAATCATACTTAACAATTTTTTTAATTATAATAATATATAATTAAGTTAGTAATATCCGTTCATTAATATATTCAATTTCATTAAATTAAAATATAACAAAAAAAACAAGATTTTCTATTGAATTAAAGCAATAAAAAATAGAATGAGGTTAATTGTAAAAAGTTAATTATTTAAAAGAAGAGAAAAATATCAATTCATCTCTATTTTTTCTATTTACAGAAATTGATCGAAGTCAATATTTAAAACGATTAGAAATATAAGAAAATTTTATTAAACAAAAATAATTAAACGAAAATATAAATATAAATAATAGAATAAATAATACAAGAATTTTATTAGATAAAAATAAATTGTTTCGAATAATAGATATATAATTTGTATATATAACTTGATTTCAGAAATTTAAAAAATTTCAATATCATAAATAAATTAATTATTTTACATATCATTATCTATTTAATAAATTTCATTAAATACATAATAGGAATATGAGATAGTTTCTCATACATGCTTCAATATATCACATTCTATTCTTTCTATTACAAATATAATTAAATAAATATAATATAATTAAATAACTTTATTCAATCATCTAACAAGAAAAGAAAATTGATTGTTCTACCTAAATTGTTCTTCATAGATGCATGAAAATCGTGGATTTGCCAGAAATCGATAAAAGAAGAAAAAACACGTTAAATGCGTAAACTTGGCATCCAGGGTCGAACGAACGAAGCTCGAATGTATCGGATGTCCAGATCTCTCAACCTGCTGCCGTACAGAATTTTTTATGACTCACCAACGACCCGTTGACCAGTCTCTTCACTTGATATCCGATAACGGAGGTCCTTACTATACACAATCTCTCTTTCTCACGATTTTTACGGATTCCCCCGGATCTGAGAAATATCCCTTTCTTGATCAAACGATCGTTTGAACAATAGAATGATGAAGAAGAACAAGAGAACTTAGCACAATTTTCGAACTATAATTTGCTAACGAGTATTGAACGTGATCATTTTGATTAGAATTCCCAATTTACAGAATATAAATAAATTTTTTTCATATAAATATCATTATTAATTCAAACTTATCGAGTAATTATAATAATTTATAATTATTTAATCGAAAAAATCTCATTTTAAGAAACAAAATATGATAGAAAAATATTTATTCAAAAAAAAAATTTTTTTGTACATCATTTTTTTAACAATAATTTTTAAATACTAATAAACGTTTCTGAATTTAATATTATATAATCCAATATTATGTCAATCATTAAAATTAATTTAATCATATAATTTTTTCATCCATTATTTTTTATATATTATGTTTTTAATAAGTAAAATAAATAAAATATCATCTAATTGGTCACTTATAATCACATTAAGATACTTACACTATGATGGAAATACAGAAAAATTATAAAAGAAAAGAGAGAATATAGATAGGATGATTGTTATAGTTGAAAAATGATAATTCTTCTTTTTATAATTTCTGAATAAAAATTGAGAAAAGAAAAAATTTATATATTTTTAATTTAAATAAATATTGATTTTATATTGAGATTATTAAATATATAAATGGTAAAATCAATAATATTTTCTAATCTCATATAAATCATATAAATGATTTTAATAAGCCTAAAATAAGTTGTTAAGATCAATAAAATATTCTATTTATTCTAAATAATTACCGAAAATGATTTTTCATGAATAATAAAATTACTAGATTTTTTCCACCAAATATTCTTCTGTTCAAATCAAAAGAAACAAAAAACTATAATAAAAATAAAAAATAAAATAAAATATGTTATAGCAAAACTATTTAGCGAATTTTACATAATATCGAAATATTATAAAATTTATATTTTATTAAAAATAATGAAAAAAACGTAAAAAAATAATAAGATTCATCTACTTGTTTTATTATAAATATAAATACATATATTTGTGAATATATTTGTGAGGGGAATCACAATAAGATTTCTTAGAATCTCTTGAACAATATTAAGAATAATTGTTTTATTCTATATTATTGAAAACAAAAAATATATCTTATCGAATCTAATTTAAATAGAATACAGTTGTTTATTTCATAAATCTTTGTATAAAATAATATCAATGATGCTTATAAAATATTACATAACAAATAATAAAATTATAATATATCAAAATTCATAGGAGGATAATTATTATGAAAATGATTTATTATTATATAAAAACTAAAATTATGATTCATCATTATTAAATTTTTTTTCAAAATACAAATGTCATTTATTCATCAAATAATTAACACTTGAGAAATATTGAAAATTGATTAATTGCTAAAAAATAAATATATAAAGGTAAAGGATACTATTTATAAAAGACTTTGATATCATCAGAGAATTTAAAATCAAGATAATCTTAAGATTAAATTTCAAAATCTACTATTTAAACTTGTATTATTAATTAAAAGATAATATTAAATTTCACATTAATGCAGAATTTTATAAGAAAACTATGTTAATTTTTATATTAAGTTTTCTAATTAAAAAAAATTATAATTAAAAAATATATATATATTTATAAGCAGACGCTTAAAGAAAAAATTATAAAAATATGGAATTCTATGAATTGTAATTTTACAAAATCACTGGTACATAATATGGAACGTCGACTGAGACAAATTATTATCACTAAAATTGGTCCAACAAAATATTAATGTTAAATAATATTGTATATATTAAGCGTTCGAATATTTTTGTAACTTACTAACAGTGTTTGTAATAAATGTATTATAACTACTGCAAAAATTGGTGAATCATTTTTAAATTTTGCTGACATAATCTTGAGATTTCTCTCTTACTATACAGTTCTCATTGTCTTGAGAACAAGTTCCATTAACATATATTTCGTTCATCAAAGATTTTAAATGTAAGCATTCGAATACTTTCGTTACCCATTGTATATAATATAGTTAAATAATCTACATTATTATTTACATTATTTAATGAATTTAATAAAATACAATTTTTATTCAAAAAATAATTTAAAGAATTTTAATATAAATAAATAATCTTATGTTTATTGACACTGCTATTAAACATCATCCATGAAATATAATGAAAATAAGTAGCTATATCATAATCTCAATAATAATGAATATTAATTTTATCAAAAATATTTATATGTTTTTGATTATTAAAATAAAATCTATTACTGTTTCTTCGAATTCTAATGAATTATAATTCAAATTTTTTTAATTTTAATAGATCAAAATTTCACAATTAAATTATTTAATAAATAATTCAATTAATTCTCGAAAATTCATCGTTATTTAATAATTTTATCAATTTAAAAACATGCGAAGTATCATGATTCATAATCATGAAGTTTATTTTTACACTTCATCGCTAGTTCATCATTTTCATTAAATAATCTATAGTCTCATCTATATAACTTCTCTTTGCAATCATTCTAAATAATGAAAAACAATTGATATTTATGTAGCTTAATCAAATTAAGTATCACAATTAATCGTGATCTATAATCAAAAATTTTATCATACTATCAGTCATCTAATCAAGAAAATATTAAGTTATTTTGTTCTTTCCACAGAAAATTTTCTATTTATCATTTAATTTTTCTTCATATATGTTATATTTTGCGAAAAATATTAATCATTTAATATCTAATTCAATGTTACTTCGATCACAATATCGGTTCTATGACTTATTAATAGAATTAATTTCAGAATCGATGAACTACCCTTATTGCATTTATTTGATTATTTTATACGTACGAGTGTCCAACTAACTAATGCACTATATTATATCGAAGACTATATATTCATTTTAACGGCACTTTCATTCAATCCGTCGTTATTACACGTGAAGAAATTGCATGCTTTACACAACATAATATTAGTATTATATACAATATTAGTCCACTATAATTAATATTTCTCTAATATGTTTATCTATATAAACTGAAACGTATATATTTTCAAGTTTAATATCATCATTGAAATAGATATAAATATTCTTAATATGAAATATGAAATCTAGACAAAAGATATTTCGAATATAAAAATAATAATTTCGATAACAAAAATAACAATAATTTTGAAAATAAAAATAAAAAATATATAATAATTTTGAATATAGAAATAACAAATAAATAAATATTCATTTTGAATAACGAATAAAAAAAAAAGTTTAAATCAAACATATTCAAAAATAAAATATTCTAATCAAATAATTAATTAATAGATAATAAATAAAAATTCATTTAATCATTAATGACATTACACTCAATATATTTTTTCATAATTATACAGTCCACATAACATTATACATTATATATGTTTTTTATATTCAGATAAATTGATGGTTAAATCAAAAATTGCAATGATAAAATAATAGATCTTACTTAGATATTTGAAGCAAGAAATATTGATTTTTATGACTTTATATATATACAATGCATTTTGTTATATTTTTTTTAATTGTCAATCTCCGATTTTATATAAACATAGGAAAATATTTAATCGCAAGAGCTATTCTTTTTGTTTAAAATATTAAAATTTTGAGTTTAAAGCACATTACTATTTATTCTAAGTATATTTATATTTTTATCTATTGAATATTTACATTTTAAATTGTAAACACGCTTTAAAAGATCATAAATAATATAAAAAAAATAATCATCTCTTATTAATTCAATTCTAGTATTAATTACTATATTAATAATTCACTCATACATAATTTGCTACATAAAGATTGAGGATCACATGTATTATACATTAAAAAAAATTCAAATAAAGAATTTTTAGGTTACCTGATTTTCCAACTCTGGGGCCGCCGAGGACGACCACCCTGATCCTGTTCACGTTTGTCATCAGACGTGGATCTTAGGTGTCATTCGAATCGCGCTTGCACATCATATGTTCCGAGTAACACTTTATGCGTTATTTTCCACTATATCTGCAGTTTATTTTGTTTTAACCATTTAAAAATCTAATTATCATATCGCATGTGACACAAAAAAAATAATTATAATAAATGTTTAAATATGAACACAATACTGAGTGATTTTCAAAAACTATTTTTTAGAAACTATAACTTATGTTGATATTCATATATAAAAAAATTATTATTAATTTTTTTAAGTTGATTATAAGTATTCCTTTGAATGTATATATACTGAATTAAAGATTTTAAAACGAAAAGCTATAAACTGATTTGTTTGATTTGTTTCTCAATTGTTTTGTCTCTGCACGAAGCTTCTATACACTCGCATTGCAAAGCAACCGGTGACACTCGGTCGCTTGCAGCGCATCCACTAATCACATTCAAACTGTAAGACAACTTCACATAGTAGTTGAATATGCGACGTTCATTCCAAGTATGCTCTCCAATAGCGCGATAAACGGCGTTGAGTAAGAGCCACCTTTTTAGGTTCAACAACACATCGATCTTTCGAAATATCACTCGTATGTGATTCACTAGCTCGACGGTTGCAATCTTCTCGCGAACAAATCGGTACCGAGTATTTCGAATTGTGACAACCAATTTAAACGACCATGCAATCGCGATACTGAGAGTTTGTCGTATTGACCAAACAATGAAACACAACTTTCGAATTTTGATCACTTTTCACGTTTTCAAACTTTAAAAACTCCACTACTTTTGTATCGCCACTTCTTTTGTGTATATTCGCGAATTTTCGTTCCCACTTACTGAAATCGCGGCACTATAATATGCGTCGAGAGTTTCACACTGGCAGCGATCGTCGTTCCTCACGTCGTCAAAAATGCCACTTTCTGTCCCTCGATTTCTCGCTTCTTCGATTTCTCTTTTTTCCTTTCGAAAACTTCACTTTCCACGGTCGCCACGATTCGATTGCATCCTCTGGACCATGGAGATAATAATATCGGTGGATGACGTTCCGGTCACGCCGCGAGCAAACATGCGGGCTAGTACGCCGACACGCTGCGAATAATAACACAAGAAACGATTCAAGAAATGTTGTCTTGCTAGTTCCATTTATAACGGGTCGACGGCCTCCCACCTCATCTCTTCTCGCTTGGCGCCGCCAACGTCGGGCTCGTCCGGATTACGAAAAAAGGCTAGAAGGCGCGCGCGCGATCGCCAGTGCTACAGCAGAACAACACTCACTCCTCTAGACGGGCAGACGAATACTGGAAGCGAGAGGCGCGGAGAACTAGACTTCAAGCACCGCCACGTGCTCTCCTGTAATTCTTGCGGCGCGCCGCTCGAATTTTTTTCTTTTACTGGATTTTTCCAAGACGCGTTTTTTTTTCAAATGAAATCGTTGACAAATCACCGTTTCACGCGCAAACACTAGTAAAAATCATGTTAGAATTTTTTACAAAACCTGATATACATGATATACATGAGAATCGTGCGCGCGGATATCCATGTATTTTCAGATTAAATGAGACATATCGAGCGGTCGTCAAATTATTTTCATCAGATTTATGAGATTTTCTGTCGTTCCCATAAATGGTGTCATGTATCAATTTTTGTTTCGTTTCTTTACCGTTCTTTAAGTCACGTAGATTAGATAACACATTTTAGTATCCATCATACATTATATGTCCGCAGAAATAATATATTATTTTTACAGAATCAAAATCGAATATTCGTGAATAATTCACATACAAATATTTCAATATTTGTTTATTAACGGCCGATGAACATTTTTAAACATTTTCTTTACAAAAACCTATCAATTACGTTCGTTTGCATATTTTTTTATTGATATATATTAATATAACATAATTATATTACATTAACAATTAATATAATATAATTAATATAATATAATAGATGCTCAAAATTTTACATGACATGAGCGAACCAAGCGAGAAGAGATTAAATTCATATATAAACGAATACTGTTTTAAATATTATTTAAGTATAACGGAATACTATAAAATTCTCATATATCAACACGACCTTTAGAAGGTCGATCGTGTAAATATTAAACAATGAACAGATGCTACTTATATTTATTCAAGAAAGTTGATTGTCTCCTTTCGATGATACCAACTGATTCGACGTAAAAAAATATGAAACGTAGAAAAATTCGCATAAATAATACCTGGTATTTCACTTGTGATAATAAATTCACTTGATGAAAAATTTCACGAATTTGTTGCGTTATTTAATTAATTATTGTTCATGTAAATTTGATACTGTTTACAATAATATTAACGTGAAAAGACGAGACGAAAATCACTGATAAAAATATACAAACGTAAACGAGCAAATGTACGACACAAAAAACATTTCTACACCGAACTCACCGAGCGTTCGCCGGCGAATGCTCGAGTCTGAGCGCTTCGCACTGTCTAATATGCACTCTCCAGTATACCCACTCGAGCACGTCTCGATCACGGCATGGCGTACCGCTCCACAGTACAAGGTGACTGCCGTGTTAACAGGTAAGCGTAGACCGACACACGAGCACTAGTATGCAAGCGCATGTCCATTAATGCAAGTAACTACGCAAGCGCTTATTCTTATAAGATAAAATCTACTGCTTCGAATTATTATATTGACATTATTAATTTGAAGAACATTTCTTATTAAAAGTGATTTAAAATAGAGTATATATATGTATGTATGTATATTTTATTTTGATTATTTTATATATATATTTTCTAGAATATATATTTTCTATATTTACTTAATAATAATTAATAATAATTAATAATATTAATTTTTTATATAAAAATATAAAGATTTATATAAATCTATAGTAAATTTGTCATTAATTGAAAATATCTCTTTATAATCTATATAATTAAATATTAAATTTTTTTATATATTGTCTGGCTTAAATGAATATTTTTATGTAAATAAACATTCTAATATTAAATAATATAGAATAATTTACTTTTTAAATCAGATCTTAAATTAAACTAGATCTCAAAAATATAATCGAATAGACATATGCATTTGTTATTGATCTTTCGTTGGAAATGCATCATAAAGAATACTCCCTATGTTATCGATTGAGTTTGATACAAGCATATTGTGGATAAAGCTGATAATTTGATATGCGTGTATCCATAGCAACTAATTAAACAGAAGATTGTAACAGAAACATATTCTCTTTTTTTGTTGTAACAGAAAAATATTCTTTCCAAAGAATAGATATTTTATTTGATATAATGGTCGAAACAGATACAAATATTATTCATAATACGAAATGTGGACAAAAGTCATTGCTCGAAAGATATGATATACCGGTTGAGCATCTTTCATACGAATATATTTCTGAATGTACAAATGCAAAAAAATTGGAGCGTATAGTAACTATATTGCGGTAAGTAGAAATTCGATTTTTCAAAAATTAAATTCTAATAAATTTTTGAATATATATTTTTTTTGAATATTTTTTAAATATTTCTTAATTTATTTTTCTTAATTATTCTTTAAATATTTTTTAAATATTTCTTATATATTTTATTAATATAATATTATTTTAAAATACATTGATACGTTTTGTTCACAGTTCTGGCGAAGAAGGATTTTATCCAGATTTAACAAAACATGCAGAAAAATGTTTAAATGTTATTAAGCCAACGAGTATAATTTTAAGAAAATCCGAACCCATTCTTAAACGTGATATGTTAGGACCAAATGAATGTAAAGAAATTGATAAAGATATTAATGATTGGATGTCTGAAATGCAGATTCGAGAAAAAGATTTAGAAGAAGGGAAAACAACTTTATTAAATTCTCTACCCTCACCAGACATTCGGGAATTTAAAGAAGAATCTCTAAAAGTATTTAATTTTTATCTAAATTTTGTTACATATATTATTTAATTAATTATATATTATTTAATTATATAAATTATCCATATTAAATATGATATATTTAAGTTTAAAATAAAGTTTTAAAAATATTTGTTTTATTTGTTTAATTTAATTAGAAAAATTTTGCAACAAATTTAAAAAATACTAAAAATAAACGAATTGCTTCTTGTGATTATTCTGCTTGGGATAAATATGACGTTGATGTTGAATTAAATAAAATAGATATACGAGAGGATCAGCAAAAAGTTGAAGCAAAAAAAATTACAACAAAAACAAAAAGAAATTACAGAAAAAAAGAAGCTGGAAAAACATACGATTATCAATACATGTATGTTACAATCTTTAAATTTAAAATAGAGTAAAATAAAAAATAAAAAATATTATAATAATTATTTGAATAAGTTCCTAATTATTTACAAAAATATATAAAAAGAAAATAACTTTTTTATTAGCGGCACTAACAGGAACAGAATTAGACGTAATGGCAGATCAAGAAAGAGAAAAAGGAAATGAAGCTTATAGAGCTGGAGATTACGAGGAAGCTTTGGAACATTATAATATTAGCATAAAAATGAATTCGAATATAATTACACATAATAACCGAGCAATGACGTGTAAATAAAATCAGTTTTACTTACGTTATTAAAAAAAATCTATAGATTAAATTATATTTTTTCAGATATTAAACTTCAACGCTATAAAGATGCTCTTAAAGACTGTAACATAGTACTCAATGTAGAATGTATGAATATTAAAGCTCTTCTTCGTCGAGCTTTATGTTTAGATCATCTTGGAGAGTCATCTCAGGTATTCAAATAAAAATTTTTTCAGATAAAAAATTGTTTTTTATTCGCTTTTATCTTTGATTGCATTTGAAATTGAATTGCATTGAATTTAAAAAAAACAATATAATAATATATATTATATAATTATATATTTTTTATTAATTATATTATATATAAAATTATATACATATAATTATTAGGCATTGGCAGATTGTGAGGCTGCTTTGGTATTAGAACCTACTAATGCTGTAGCGATTGCGGGTGTGAAGAAATTAAGAAAACCTTGCGAATCTAGAAAAATAAGGTACGATAAAAAAATAATCATTTAATGACATACATTTAAATTGTTTAATTTTGCATTTTCAGAATGACTATTACAGAAGAACAAACTGAGAATACAAATAAAAAATTGATATCGAAGTTAAATGAATTTGAAGAAAAAAAGAATTATGTTTCACAGTTTAACTCGAATAGTATATGCTATTGCGATAAAGCGCCGGGTCCATCACGAATTTAAATCCAAGTCCACATATTAAGGCTGAATATTGTCTTGAAAACAATAATAGAGAAACGACGATAATTAAAAGTATAGATAATTCAAAGAAATCTGAAAATGTTCAAAAAGTAATTAATGTGAGCACTGAATTGTTCAAAAATCCAGTTTCTTCTTCTAATAATTATTCTTCAAATGTGTCTAAATTATACGAAGAAAAAAATGATCCTGATCTCTTAACAACGAAACATAAATCAACTTTTTCTCGTACAAAATCTCCCATAGGAACTAATTCAGTTATTATTGAAGAATTACCTAATGAATCTAGTAACAAGAATTATATAAATGTTGAAATCAAATCGAAGGAAACAACGAATAAAAGTATATCCAACACAAAAATTAAGAACAAAAATAAAACACCCGATAAACAAATAAAACTTAAAAATCTGACGAAAAATTGCGAAAAATATTATTTAAATGAGAAACCTAGAAAAATAGAAATGGCAGATAAATATAAAAATAAAACTAGTAAAGAAGAGAAACCTATTACAAAGGTTACAAATAGTTCATCGAAAAATGATTTTGATCTAGGAGTATATGCTCAATTATTAAGATCATTAGATTTAAATTTAGGTTTGTATTTTAATGTAGCAACTGTATAAAATTTATTGTCATAAAAATATTTTAGTTTTAGGAAATGAATTAGATGGAAACAAGTTCAGTACCATATTGCATTGTTTAGAACAGTATTTTTGTACGTCTGACAATATAGAACTTTTGAATAATTGTTTAAAATCAATCAGTCAAATGAAGCGTTTTTCAATTATCAATATGTTTATGAGTAGCGAAGATAAACAAGGTATATTCGCAATGAAAATTATATTAAGTAATATTTATATAATTATTACAATACTTTTATTTTATAGCTGTCAAAAACATACTCAATTTCTTAGAAGAACATGGAACGTCAGAAGTTTCATCATTGCGACAAATTTACTGCATCTAAGAATACTACGCATGTATACATTTTAAAATGTTTCGAATTTTGTAGTGACATTTCAAGTACCAACTTTATATCTTCTAGTAATAATACATAAGAAATTATACTAATGATATTGTTTTTTTAAATTAATAATATATATAGTTAATGCAATTATTTTTATTTGAATAATAAAACATTATTTAAATATAAAAATATTTATAAAGTATTTACATGAAAGTATAGAAATATATATTTTTCTTAGAAAAATCACTAATTAAATCGTAAATAAAAAATTCTAAAGATTTTTATTGAGTAAAACTTATTTTCTATCATATTTTTTATATAATTAAAATCACATGCAATTATTAATATGTGTAACATCTAATATAATAAATTTAGTAGTAAATTTTTTCGCCGATTCTCTACCTCAATATTTTCTTTGCATTTTCATCTATCATTCAATGATGGCAGCACATGTACAGTTCTAAGCGAGTGCGCACTCTGGCTTTGTTCCGACATCCGGACTCCGTGACTTTAGCGCTTCGTCAGTTGCGTACTCTTCCGTTCATGCAGCTTATGACATTTTTTTCTGTTACTACAAGATGTTTACTTGGATGAGTCCTGCGAATTTCAACGAGGATCCCGATAATTCCGCGTGCAAAGCCGCCATGAAACTGCTACGGAGACAACAGTAACTGGAAGGTACGTGATCCGGCGTGATTACGAGCGGCCCGGGTATGTTTATAGCCTGCAAACTCTGACATAGCAATGGCGTACTGTCGCCGTAAAGGCCGTGCCAACAAAATTGTCCTTTGCCTTATTTAGTCTAAATTAATTGTGCACGCGGGAATTTAATCACAAAACAATGTTTCGTATGTGATGATATGGTTTATAGTGACAAGTACAGTTTGTGAGTTTTGGTGATGAAAAGTGGCGTTTTTCGGTGATTATAGTGCCTCGGTTTTCCCCACTGTGGAATGACCGCCGATTGTCGAGCGGCACGCCATCCTGCTGTAGCTGACTGAGGACTATACTATAAAGAGATTAAAAACTATGTGAGTTCGAACCAAAAACGAGGTTGTGTCTTTTATTAACAGTGAAAATAATTTTTAAGTGAAACCAAATTTTTCTTATGAAAATTAATATTAATATAGAAATTTATGATAAGACTAAGGAATGAGCATTGACACGTAAGAAAATGATTGATGTTTTGTACATCGCTTATACATGAATTATTAGTAACAATTTAAATAAATTTAAAAAATTTTGAATTATAAATATTATTTCAAGATTTTAAAAGATGAAAAATGAATGAAAGAATAAATATTAAATAAAATTTTATAAATATTGTGTGATTATATATATTTAAGATATATTTATATAAAATATGATATTCTTTTATTTAAAAATAGATCTTTACAATAAGAACATTTTAAGAATAATTTAACATATGAATAACTATTAATTGAAAATTTATTATTTTAAAGGAAAATTTTTATTTAGAATTATGTATTAATATATTTTAAAAGTTTGTTTGTCTTATGTTCAAAAAGATATTTATTTACTTCTAAAAAAACCTAAGTTTTTAATTTTGGAATTGTATATTTTATGTTTAAATTATTTCAAAATATTATTTTTATGTTTAAAAAAAGAGTGAAAAAGAGAAAAATATGATATTTTATTAAAAAAATATAAAAATATAAAATATGAAGTTGAAAGAAAGTCAAGGTTGAAATTAATACATTACATATAATATATGTGTTATAAAATTTGTTTGTATTTTTTTTTTTTATAATGAATTCTTATAACTGTCATTAATTTTTTTATGTACATACAATTCATATATATTATATTTTTATCTTTTAAATGTCATTAAATAAAGATAAATAATATAATCTATTTTATAAAAATTCAGATCAATAATCATAGATCAAGAAAACTTATAATTAAATATAATTAATATATGTAATTAAAAATATAATTTATGATAATTTTACAATAACTTATTATAGTAAAATTATGAATAATATTAAATACAAAGAATATTAAATATATTTTGTCAATTTTTTTAGCATATTATAATTATATTTTAATAATATTAAATACAAAGAATATTAAATATATTTTGTCAATTTTTTTAGCATATTATAATTATATTTTAATTTTGTATAATTATATTTTAATATTCAATAAGTTAATATATCTAAAAAATTTAGATATAAGAGATATATTTAAAAATTTCATTGTAATTCTTCAATTTTTTAATATAACATAAATTTACAGAAAATTGATTTTTAAATTCACATTTATGATACAAATTTTTTATTACATAGGACTACATAGCAACAGAGGTCTAGTAGAGGTGCCATGGATGATGAAGAGCGTCTTGAGGGTGAGGAAGAAATGGAACTAGATGAAGCCTCTGATGGTGAAGATGAAGATGAAGAAACAACAGGAATTCCTGTATCACCAGCCAATTCAGATCAATTGCTTGGTCCTGTACCAACAACTCCTGGTAATAGTGAGTATATATATATATATATATATATATATATATATATATATATATATTATATATATATATATTAAATTATATATATATATATTATATNTNTATTATATTAT